AGACACCCACACACACACAAACAACTTCCCTCACTCCGGCCACCCCAGAAGGGGGAACAACCCGTTGGAGTATGGTTAGTGCTATAGCCGGGACTCGAGAGCAGCTCCATGCCCCAGCACAAGGTGCTAGCCATCCGCAAGGGCACGGCCTGCCTGCGTTCCCCCAACATGCGGATAAGAACACTTGGATTGTATAGCGCATGGGGTGCTTCCTCCTTATCCACTAGACCAGCGTTTCCCAAAGTGTGGTCCGCAGCCCAGTACTGGTCCTTAGAAAATTATTGCGCACAATCCTATTCATTTGTGTGATGGGGTAGCAGCACCCCTCCTCCCCCCCCATAGCCGAGCGTGGCGGCGCTGCCCCTGTAAGGGCTCCGGGGCCGGGAGGGGGGCAGAAGAGTTTCCCTGGTGGTGCCCAGCGCTGTGCTCAATGATACACGGGGACCTATTTGAAATCATGGGATGGTGGGCGGGCTCCAACCTTATGGGAGGGACACTGGACCCATGTTCAATTGATTGCTTGGGACAAATAATGACTCCAGGACGGGGGACAGAACAACCTGCCGGGCGCCATGTGCACCGATATAGAACGCCCAGTGCCAGACGCAGCCGGGGGAACCGGCACCAACCATTGAAGCGGCCGGGATTGGGACGGGGGGAGGGGCGAAGTGGAACAACCTGCTGGGAAGGTAGGGCCAGTGACACAATGTATTTGCATATTCATCATTTGCTTAATGAATATGCAAATATGCAAATAAATGTTACCAGTCCTCCAAAAGCGATTAAAGGGGTTTACTGGTCCCCAATATCAAAAAGATTGGGAACCACTGCACTAGACCAATAATTCTGCCAAAGAAAGAAATTCAGTTGGTTTGGCATGATTTATTTTTGACATGCTCTCTATTACTTATTACCTTATCTTTTCCAGGTGCTTACAAACTGATTGCTTAATAATTTGTTCCAACACCTTTCCAGGTATCAAAGTTAGGCTGACTGGCTTTAAAAATACTGGACATTAAATATATCACAAGTATAACGGTGCTGTTCTTAATTTTATGTGATTTGCCACAACCCTCAAAAACAATTCTGAGGTTTGTTCAATTAAAGTTTTACAAAACTTATGTTTCATGATATTTCAGTGAAAACACTTATTTTTTTGGCATCTATTTGGAATTAAACACTATCTCATACACATACTAGCCATTTTTTGCAACTTTAATGGTTGGGCTTGGTACTCAAGTGTTATCTAGCTGCTAATAGGTAGTGTTAGAATAAACAAAAGTGAAATTTACTAGTCTGCTTTCATTGTTTTCGCTACTGCTAATGCAAAAAGCAAACATAGCAAATAATTTTAGATTTAAAAATTATCTCAGTCTTAAAATGCTTCAGTGCAGAGTAAGGATGTAAGCAAGTGGTCAAGTAGTCGACTGACTGATATGCTTGATAGGCTTATCTGATAGTTGAGTCATCTACTTGCATTCCACTCCCTTGCTGCCTCTGTATCAAAAAAGCTGGTTCCCCCAGTAGAGACAAGATGCCACCTTACCTCCCCCACACTGCTGCCTCTTCTTGCCCCTGCCCTGTCCTGCCCCTTCTTCACCCTTGCTCCATCTCTCAGCTCCACCCTCACTCCAGCCCTCCCCCAAATCCTTGCCCCTTCTCCTCCCCAGCTTTTCTTTCTCAGCCCCCACTCTTTCACTTCCCCCAGTCCCTCTCCTCTAGCAATGTAGCTCAAGGGACTAGCAGGGGTTCTGGCACTGGCAGTATTGGTCAGACCACCACCCCACACACACACTTACTGGTGGCGGTGGGGAGAAGTGGAGCGACTCGAACTCAGCCCACTCAGTTCCTTCAGCTCTAACCACTCTACTTCCCGTTGCCAATGAATGCGGGGGAAAGTTCCACCCCTTTTCTCAAGTCCCCTCCCCCGAGCAATGTGGCTTGTAGCCCCTCCTCCGCCCCCAATGCTTTGCCTCTGCTTTTGCATTTTTGTATTGTACTGTGTTTGCTTTTGTTTGTTTGTTTCTGCTGTTGCTTGATTGCCTACTTTGGGTTCCAAGTGAGGTTGACTGGTTAGATTGTAACTGAGAGATTCTACTATACCTGATATAAACACAAGTTGTGCATTGATATTGAAGAGGAAAATTGTTTACCATATGTACAAGCATTAAACCGAGTCTCCCTTTATATATAGATTTTTTTTTATGTTGTAGTATTTATCTAACTGTGTTGTTGGAGCATCACTTGAAGAGGTGGGAGAAGAAGAGGAAGAAGAAGATAATGAAATTGTGTCAGCTATAGATGTTACGTTAAGTAAACCAAAAGAGGGAGCCTATCAAATAGTGGGGACTCTTGCTAAGGCGCAAAGTATGAAACCAGATTTTGCTCTGGAAACTTACACAGTGAGTAACAGTCTTGTTAATTTGGCAGTAAATAATATGTGTGCTGTTTAAGTCATCTTTAGGACAAACTTTGGATTACTCCAAACTATAAAAAATATATAAATAACATATATTGTAGATCTGTGGGTATACTGTATATATTTCTAATATTATTTTCTCCCTCTTCTTTCAGAATGACTACATTTATGTTTTATTCTCCCTCATCCTTTTATAACCTCTCTCTTGGCAATCTCATCAGCTGACAGAGGCCTTGTTCCACAGAACACTAAAATTAATGTGGAGACTCACATTGATTTAAATGTATTTTGGATCAGGTGACAATGGATAGAATGACATCTGTATTCTGATGACTCAGGCTATGTCTACACTACAGGGTATCCTGGAAAAACTCTTCTGTGTCCAGGGAACGTGTCTCCTCTTCCTTTTTTTGTGTGTGGCAGAGCAGACACATTCTTTCAGAAGCCCTTTCTTCCTCCTCCCACGAGGAAGAAGGGCTCTTCCAAAAGAGGAGGTTTTTCCGAAATTTGGCCCAGTGTAGATGGGACAAATTTTGGAAAAGCCTCTTCCAAAAAAACTATTGGAAAAACGTAAGCAAATTGCGGGGGGTAATTTGAGTACCTTTTTCCAATAGATCCCTGTAGTGTAGACATAGCCTCAGTGGTCTCTTTTACCACTATTTTACCCTTACCTTGTCTTTCTGTAATCTGACCTTGTCTTTCTGTAATCTCAGCCTCTCTCTCTCTCTAACATCTTCTCTATGTCTTATCATTACCTTAACCATAGCATATCTAAACTGAAATCCTTGTCTTCACTCCTCATTCTTTTATCCATTTATTTTATACTTCATTGGAATAATGTGTTTGTTTATTATGAGAGTAATATGAGATGTTTGATGGCCTTATCTTTATCTATTCACTGAAGCCAATATTTCAGTAATGACTTGTTACTCTAGATGCCTCAGTAGTTGAGTGCCCAACTTGAGACACTATGGGTACGTCTACAGTGTGGTGTTATTTTGGGATACTTCTGATATATCAAAATAGCTATTCCATGTCTTTTAAACAAACCCATTATTTCAAAATATAACGGGCTCGCTATTCTGATATTCCTGTAAAACTTGTCCCATGAGCATTCAGGAATGTTTTGGAATAGCAGTATATTTCTAAATTTGGGTATGTCTACACTAAAGCACTAATTCGAACTAACTTAGCTAATTCAAATTAGCACATCTAGACTTAAAAACTAGTTCGAAATAGCGTTTTGCTAATTCGAACTAGCATGTCCACACTGAGTGGACCCTGAACTGAGGTTAAGGATGGCCGGAAGCAGTGCCGGCAGGGCATCAGATTAGGTCTTAGAGCGTGGAGCTGCTGCCTCAGGCTAGCCGAGGGCTGTGCTTAAAGGGACCCGACCCCCATCTCGGACAGACAGTTCTTAGGGGTTCCCCGCTTGCAAAGCAGTCCTGGCTTTGAGTGCCTTGAGTGCCCACACTCGGCATATCACAGCACTTGGCCATCAGCCCAGTTGCACTTGCCGCAGGCTGCCATCCGGGGGAGGGGGGTCAATCAAGGGGCTTCAGGAGAGCTTCCACCCCGAGGAGCCTGCAGAGCCA